CTAGAATGGCTCTCCCTCCCAGGGAGCTAGCAACTTCTCCAATTCTCCTCTTCCCAATCATCAGACACCATTTCATGCCTTTCTCTACCAAACACCTTGCTGACAGATGCTAAGCAATTCTGCCCTGCTTTGGTCAACTGCTCATGGCTCATTCGCATGCCGATTTAAGACAGACCTCCATAGCACCTTGCCACTCACAATGTGGTCCACTGGGCGCTTGTAAGAGATACCGATTGCCAGACCTAAGGGAGTCTGCATTGTAACAAGATTCCCCAGGTGCCTCTCGGCTTTGCATGTTCAAGTCTGAGCAGCAGTACTGGTATGGCGCTGTGGGTTAAGCCCTGGACTACAAGGTCAGTTTGAACCACAAGGTCAGCACTTCAAATTTACCAGTCACTCCTCCTCAAAAAACCTCTACAGGGTCGCTTTGAGTTGGCACAGACTGGAGGGCACTTAACAAAAACTGCTACATAAGGATTAGGGCACTTTGCAGGTATGTGATGTTTGATCAGAGACTCAAATCTCTCAGAACCTAGATTCCCCTGCTGTAAAGTGAAGACAGCAATTGAATCAGGTTGGAAGGATTCAGTGCATGTTTCAGCTGAGCACAAGGCCTGGCCTGTGGTGAGCACTCAGTTGGTGGGACTCCTCTCTTACCTGCAATAGGAAATTTGCAGGAGGCCAAGGCATTCAGGGTGAGAGAGTGAGGACCCCCGTCCTCGGTCATGGTTTACCTGTGCTGGTGTCTGCTGGTCACACTGGTCCACACTGACAGAGAGAGCAGTTACTGCTCCTGTTCCCAATTACAGGCCTTTCAGATCTGTAGGACTCAGGGTCATACTCAGGAAATGCTCTGCAGTCCCTCGGGCCATGTGGCATGGGACTACTCAGCTCTGCCTGACCTGTGGATATGAGGAAGCTTCAGGTCTGGATGTTTCCCCAGGGATTACACAGAAGAGAAGCACAGATGTCTTTATTTTTCAAATGCCCCAGCCATCATTGTACCTTTTTGGTCCAGATAACCTTGATCTGTCTGGTAGCGGGGTAGCATCATCCAGCCTCCAGCTGTGTTGTCAGTGCCCTGCATCTTAAACCTACCAGGTTCTAAACCCTCAACACTCAATTATCTGACTTCTGCCCTCTCAAAGAGAAAACTTGGAGGGAAGGAATCCCTCCAAGATTATGAATGTTTCTGTACATGTGATACCTCTCAAGAGCTCAGTTCTTTATTTTGGTCTCTGGCCAGCCCTCCCATGTCCTGGCGGTGCTCCTTCCCTGAGCCCATCAGAGCCCAGCTCCCCTGGAAGGGTCCTTCTGCCGGGAAGAACATAGCCTCTCAAAGTTCCTGTTCTGTTTGCAGTACCCATGGTCCTTCCATCCAACCTGCCTCTGCCGCAGGATGCTAGTGCGCCTCTGACCTATTCTCTTTTTGGTCCGCCTCGTCAGCACCCCTATTGAGCATGCTCCAGTGTGCACCAGCAATGCCACCACCCTGCTCCTGCCTGCTTCTGCCCAGCCGCCTGCTGTTGCCTCTCCCAGCGCAGCCTTACCTGCCTTGGTTGCAGCCACTGCCAATGCTGCCAATTCTGCCACAGCCTCCGCCTCTGCCTCCAGCCCTGCGGACAGTCCAAGGTAACTGGCCCACAGTAGCCAGCCCGGATCATGGGGAAGGGAAGCAAGAAAGGCCGACCCTGAGTCCACCTCTCCAGCAGTGGTGCTCAGTGGTTCAGGCTCTGGGGCCACATGGAGGCCAAACCTAGCACTACAAGGTGCTGAGTGTGAGGGGGCGCTAGAGCGTGTTTCAGGGGAGCCTACCAACTGCGGCTGAAGACAAAAGCAGAGATGGGTGTCTGCCTGCCCTCAAGAGAGAAGACTCACACATAGACACGTTCAGTGCTTTATGTAGAAAGTCACTGTTCCTGGAACTCAAATTTGGGAAAATGAAAATCATCCCTGTCAACTGGAAGTCAAGGAAGGCTGCATGGAGGAGGGGGCATTGGAAAGCAGGTTACATTTGATCAGATAATGTTTAGTCATTAATTTGCCCTCCACCACTACTTCTCTTCTCCATCAAGCCTCTGTTGACTCAGAGGCCTTGGTGTGGAATTTAAATCTCTGCTCTATACCACTTACTAGGTGTAAAGTTTCTGAGCCTCAGTTTCCTCATCTATTAAAATCTTTAACATAGCACTAATCTTGCAGGGATGTGACAGAAGCAAATTGTTGTCCCTCAGTATCTGCGGGGGATTGATTCCAGGACCTCACAGATACCCAATTTCCAAGGATGCTTAAGTCCCTTATGTAAAATGTGTCCTATCTACATTTAACCTGCTGACATGCTCCTGATTACTTTAAATCATCTCTTGATTACTTATAATATCTCACTAAGCACTTATGCCTTCGAGTCAGTTCTGACTCATAACGACCCTGTATTGGATTTCCAAGGAGCGCGGCTGGTGAATTTGAACTGCCATTTTTGTGGTTCAAATAGACCTTGTGGTCTAGTGTTAATCCTACATTAAATTATAATGTAAATAGCACTTTACTTTCCCTCTTAGTCTTTGAGGGATTGCTTTGACTACTCACTTGCTTCTCAGGAGCCTTCCCTCCACCCCTTCCCCCAAATACTTTCATTTCACAACTGGTTGAATCCATAGCTGTAGAACCCTTTGTGTCAAGAGTATTTGAAACACTCAGTACATACACATGCCCCTTGTTAAACACTCACCAGTATAAGGGGTCTTCAAAACATTTGTGGAAACATCCCATTATCTTTGAATTCCACTTCTCCCAAACTTTTTGAAGCCCCCTCATATTCCCAGCCAGGCAGAGACCCAAAGAGGAGAGGAAAAAGGCAGGAGGAAGGGAGGTATGGGAAGTGAGAGAGGCTGACTGACTGGTCATTCCAGAGCCTCCTGGACTCTGTGGAGTTGTCCTATGACTGTCTGGGGTTGGATCCCAGCTTCCTCTGGGATTCTGCTGAGGAAGATACCAGTCTGTGTCAGGGTAGGCAGCACTGAGGGTGGGCACACTGGCCAGCTGGCCTGGCTGCTGCCGCTCACCTCTGGATTTACAATGGCCCATTTGATGCCCAGCATTTTCCTACCTCCCCTCCAGACTCAGGGGTGAGTCTGGCCCTGAGCCTGTGGGATGGTTTAGTCCAGCTTCCTGGGGACATGTAGCCAACGGTTTTCCCTCTCCACACCAGAAGTTCTTCAATAAGGGTCTTCTACCTGCACAAAGACGAAACTCTGAGGTGGGTAAGAAATGGCTGGACAGATTATCTGAGTCCCTGGCCCTGGAGTAGTCGAGTAGGGAGGAGGCGGTCTCCCCAGTTTGAATGGGGGAGCTCTAGATGCTGGAGACTTGGGACCTATTACAGAACTCCAAGAGCCCTCGGGACTCTCTTTGCCTTGACAAGAGAGCTGGCCTGGGAGAAACTTAGAGCCTGGAGAGCTACCCAATGGGGCAATGGGCTAGCGTAAAGGGATCAAGAGGTCACATTCTGGGTCCAGCTACCTCCCCTCCTTGTGCATGGACTAAGGCTGATCTAGATGGGCTTGCCAATTGAGACCCAGCCTTTCTTTGAAGCATGACCTCAGAATTCTCACTGGATATATATCTTCAGTTTTCCATTCCAACTTCAACACCAGTCCCCAGCACTGGGCCATTGGGATGCTGGGATACTGCACAGCATGCTGCATGGGGGAGGACCTAGATGAGACCCAATGACTCTCTGACCAGTGGAAGCTAGAGACCCCAGGTGCCCTTGGGCATGGTCTCTTCCTATTTCATGGAGGCCTTAGGTTAGGGGTTCTCCCCAAGTAGGGAGGGTGCCATGGAGAGGAAACAATGAGAAAGCAGGTCTGCAAATCACTGAGGTCTGCAATGCTAGTCTGGGGCAGCCAGTACACAAGCACCTCGAGAGCTTCTCAAAAACTTGGTGATGGGTTCTTAGCCCAGGGTCACGATCCTGACAGAGTCTCCAGCAGATGGAACTCCTTTATGATACACCTTTGCCCAGCAGGGCTTGAGATGAGCAGGCGCTGGATCCATGCAGGAAGGCAAGTAGGCAGCCATGGGTCATGTGGGTGTATTTCCAGGAGCTCACTTTGCCATCATTCCTTGAAATGGTTTGTTGGCCCTGGGCATGGTCTTGTGGTCCCCATTAGAATCTGAAAGATACAGGTGGATGCAGGAACTAGGGCTTTCTCCTGTAAAGTGGCCATCAGTTTTTTAAATGAAGAGAAGGGCTTTATGGGGAAATCAAATTGGGAAACACTGGATCAGACAAGGTTAAACTGCTAAACCCCAGGACTTCCTACGACTTCCCAAGAGAAGAGGCCAAAAACAGTGTTTCCTGAGGCCAATGAGCTGGAGATACCTTTTTTCCATCTCTTTGGTCCTGTGCTTCATACTTGGGGAAAGACTGCTTTAGTCTTTTTTGCAGCTAGTCTAATAGGAAGAGGACAACAGAGATTCTATATGGAAGAGAAGGGAGTGGGGGATGGGACCTGGGGGCTGGTGAGGAGCCTGGCTTCCCATGAGCCCTCCCGCCCAGAAACTGAGACTTTGCTTCCCTCTTCAGCAAAAATAGAAGTGGGTGGGGACCAGGGAAGCCCAGGCTGTGAGGTGAGGAGGTAGTCAGGGTGGCGCTGACCACCCTCCTGCCACTGGACTGCCCACTCCAGCCTGTACCACCTTTCCCAGGGTGTGGTGGGTAAGTGTTGTCTTCATGCTCCTCTGTCTGGCCAAAGTTTCTCCCCTCTGTCTCCTAAGGTTGTGGCACTGGTAACAGGCTGAATTTCTGGAAGGGTCTTTGCTGCTCTAAGGAGTACCATCGTGCCTCCTAAGGTCTCTAAGACCTTTCGTCCTCAATCTCCAGCAGCTTTCATAGAGGTCCCTAAAGATGAGGGAGACAGCTAGCCTGCCATGGCTGCTGGCCCAAGGCCAGGGTAGGACTGTCCTTCTGGCTTCTAACTCTTGCTCCTTGGTTCCAGGCCCCAGGCGTCTGCCTACAACCCTACAACAGCCAGCTCTCTGACACCTGCTGCCAACACCAGCTATGGTGAGGCCCCAGCTGCCCCTGCACCCAAGCCCCGGGTTGTGACCACAGCCAGCATCCGGCCTTCCGTCTACCAGCCAGGTGAGAGGCCAGAGAGTGAATGGGGGTGGTCTAGGCTGGGTAGGCACTTCAGAAGTTGGAAGAGTAAGGTGGCGGCCCTGAGGCCACATCACCAGAAGGATGATGGTCAGTGGTCAGCAAGGTCCTGCTAATGAGGTTCAACCATTCTGCCCTAAATTGTGAGCAGCATCCTGTGGAGCCCACACCTGGCCTTGGGGAGGCAGGTGGGAGAGCCGAGATGGAGCCTCCTAGCTCTAAGGTAGAGGGTATTCCTAGCTTGGGCTTTCCCGGCTCAGGGTAAGGAAGAAGTGGGTCTAGAGGGAAAAGTTGGTTTTTCCATGTGGGGGGGTCTAGGTTCTGGTTCAATACAGGTATGTGTGCTTACCATCTATTCAGGCAACATCTGACTCATATCCCTTCCACCCAGTTCTAATAGAGCTCAGAAATCCTGATCGGAGAATGGGCTATAGGGAATGTATGAAGGGATGTCTAAAAGTTTGTGAACAGAGTTCATCGATAATGGGTTTTTCCAAGAATACTTTTGAAGCCCCCTCCTACTTTGCTAAGTACTGAGATTTGGATCTGTCTCTCATTAGCTCACCTGGTCTCACAACTGCCCAACCCAACTCTACCACACTGGGCTCCGGCAGCGCCAACACTCAGCCCGGTTGCCCCAGGAGCATTCAAACACACTAGGCAGAGGAGAAGGGGTCAGGCATGCCTCCTGGGGACAGGGCAGTGGCCACACAGGACCTGCAGTGAAAGAGCTCTTAACACAGCATAGGTTCCAGGTCCAGGTGTCCTGCAAGCCTCTCTCCTATGTAGTGTTGATCCAATGACCAAATCAACTAAAATTTTATTTCATATAAGAATCATGGACACTAAGCAGTACATACCTGTTATGAAAGCCCCATGAATTCTGGACAGATCTGCAGCATCACAGTGTGATCCTGGATAGGTTGCTTTTTGGTTTCCTTAGCTGAAACAGGATACCAGGAGGCATGAAGACAGACACATGGTGTCCTGGGGTCATCAGGCAAGCTCACCAGTTATTCCATCCATCACTGACACAGCTACCTGCCAAGGATGAGGGCTCAGCTCCACATCCCCCCCTATCCTAGGCAAAAATTAGACCTGCTCCCCAAAGCTGGAGGGCAGTTCTCAGCCTGGCCAGCACTTCACCGGCCCCTGAATATCACAGTTCAAGGAAGGGCTGTTTCACGGGTATTTTTCCAGGGACCTAGGGTCAGCACTGAACTGCAAACCACAAGGTTGGCATTTCAAACCCACCAGCTGCTCCTTGGAAACCCTATACAGGGTCGCTGTGGATCAAAACTGACTCAGCGGCACTTAATAACAACAAGGGTTAAGTCAAAACTGGGGAAACATCATGTGTGCCTTAGTCTTTAGCACATGCCCATAGGAGGGTTCCTGGCATCCAGGGCCTGATGCTGAAACCAGCATCCTTCCTTCCTACTCAATTTGACCCTAAACTAGGTGCATTTGTCTGTTATACCCAAGCACCCGCCTCAGGTCTGGCACAGAGGAGGTATTCAGCAAAAGCATGGGGAATGAAAGAACCAATGGATAAATGGGCGCTGGTGAGCGGCAGAGGCTGAACACTGGGACCAGAGTGGATCACCGGAATTCCCAGAGTAGTGCCCTGGTGTCCTTCCCACGAGTGGGTGATACAGGACTTCTGATGGGGGCACACTTTTCATTTGAAACATTATATTTTCAACATTTATATTTTTACAGCCATCTTAATTTATGGAAAACAATCATTTATAGTAGTAATGTATATAGACAATAGCACACACACACACACACACAAAGTATTTTACAGGAGCCCTGGCGTGGCACTGTAGGATAGGTACTGGACTGCTAACCACAAAGTCAGCTGTTCAAACCCACCAGCTGCTCCTTGGAAAACCCTATACAGGGTGACTATGAGTCACAACTGATTCCACTACACTTAAGAATATATACACACCATTTGGGGGTGCACTGTGGCTCTGTAGGATAAGCACTGAACTGCTAACCACAAGATCGGTGGGTTCAAGCCCACTAGCCACTCCGCACTGAACTGAAGGACAGTTAACATTTTTACATATGGCAAAACTGAGGGAGCTGATGATTTGTTTGGGAAAGAATGAAGGAGCTAATTCTGCGGGAACAGGGAGTAGAAGGCTTCACCCCGCCCTCATGTAAGAGAGTAGAAGCTTACCAAAGGGGGTGGGGTGGGTAGTAGCAGTCTATACAGTCTACACTGGGGTACAGGTCCTGTGACTATGAGAGACACTGGCAACAAGACAGGGACTGGGTCAGGAAGCGTTTGGGGATGCCCCATTAGCCTTGTGCTTCCAAAGCCCATTCTGATGGCAATGCTGAGTGATCGCTAGACGCAACGTTAGCCTCAGACTACCATACCATCTAAGGCAAAGTGCTTCATCTCTCTGGGCCTCTCTCATTTGAAAACTGTGGGTGACACTATGTACACCTTGTATTCCCAGGATTAAATGAAGCACTTAGTACAGTGCTGAGTACACAAGAGAGATCCTTCTTTGTTCCCCCAAAGGCAAGGAGGTATTAGAAATTTCTGAGCTTAAAAATTTAAGAGGATTGGGTAGCATTTTGAAAGGGGCAGCAACGGCGAAAAATCTCAGATGGCGCTCTGGTTTTCAGTTTGCAAAGCCTCCCCGCTGAACTGGGGAACACATGAGGAAGGGTGGAGAAGAGTTTGGATGGGAAGTGGCAGCTAGGTGCAAGGAAGGCGTTCCCTTCCGGGCGCTGTCTGGGCTCCCCTTCCCGGCAGGCCTTGCTCCGCAATTTCCGGGGCGGTCCTGAAGCTGTAGGTGTCCCCGCCTGGCTGCTGGCCCTACCCGGCAGGTCCACCAGGGGGCGGTAACGCTCCGGGACTCACGCAGTCTAGCGCGGCCTGCGCACCTTTGCTGAACAGTCCAGTAACTCCTTCTCCCCGCTGCTTGGATACTAGCGGTGAGACTGGAGAGGAGGGGAGACCAGGGGGCTGCAGCCTCCGCTGGGTTCCCAGGCAGCTAGACGTTAACTCATTACTGCCTAGAGGGAAGGAGTTGAGCAAGCGCGCGCTAAAGACGGGCTTGCCTCCACCTCTTCCCTAGGTGGGGTCCTAGGGCGCTGGCCACCAGCCCAGGGAGAATTGGGGAATGTCGACCTGAGCTTCCCTTCAGTTCCCTGGGGTCTCCAAGGCCGGAGCCCAGAGGGCCCGCAGCCCAGGAGCCGCCCAGCCTACCCCCCACCCCCGCCCGGCCTCCTCGGATTGCAGCCAGGATCTTATCGCTGGCGCCGGGGTTGGGCCGGCACTCCCCAGAAACACCTGGGGCCCTGTAGGATGCATGCGGGTGGCGGCAAGGAGTCCGGGAACGGGACTCGCCGTGGGCGGAAAGCGCTCTGCACACCAGGCGGTCACGTTGGCCTCCAGGCCAGGTGGGGGCCTCGGCGCGCAAGCAGAACCGGGCCTGACCAGGAATGAGTCAGGAGCCACCTTGTTTAATTACACATTCCCGAGACTGCCGTGTGCGATAGGGGCTTTTTGAACATGCCTATTAGAGATAAAATATCACCTTCTAATTTGAATGGTCTCAGCCTACCATTTTAGCCAAGAAACAAACTCTGGTGAACTGTTTAGAAAGTACCACCAATGCTATGGCATTTTCAGTCCCTACATATGCATGGGAAAGAAGGACAATGAATAGGGAAAACTGAAGATTATGTCATTCATTTGAATTATGGTATTGGTGAAGAACATTCAATATACTGTGAATGAACAAATCAATCTTGGAAGAAGTACAAACGGAATGCTCCTTGAAATCTAAAATTGTGAATGGCAAGACTTCGTCTCATATATATTGACCTGCTATCAAGGGAGACCAGCTCCTGGAAAATGACTTATTTTTCATTCTTTAAGTCGAGGGTCAACCTAAGAAAGGAAAAACCCTCAGGAAAGGAATTGGCACTGTGGTTATAGCAATGGGTTCAAACATGGCAACTATTGTGAGGGGCGGGGCGGGACAGTACTTCTTTCTGTTGTGCAAAGGGTAGCTGTGAGTCGGAATTGACTCAACAACAACAAAAAATTTGAACTGGTTGAATTCTGCCAAGCCCCAGGCTCCAAGATGGAATATCACCTCTCTCCTGATAGGTTGAGGATGGTTCAGCAAACTGGGCCGAAGGGCGAAGAGGGGAGGGGACCATGAAACTGCTGCTCTCTGCCCACCACCTGCCAGGGAGCAGTGGATCAAGTGGGGGAGGGAAGGCCTCTAGCTCTGAGTGGGTGTAGCCACCAGAAAAGAAACAGCCACCAAGGTCCAGATTCCCACCAGCTTTTGACTTGCTGTTCAACCTTGGCATGGTGGGGCCTTAGAGAAAAGAGAGAAGTTGGATCAGGAAGCCAGGAAGGCCTTGTTGTTGTTGTTAAGTGCCATTGAGTCGGGTCCGACCCATAGCGGCCCTGTACAGGGTTTCCGAGGCCTTACCAAAACCCAAACTCACAGCCATGGAGTGAATTCCAACTCCTGTTAAGTGCCGTTGAATTAGAGCAACCCTGTTAAGGTTTCCAAGGCTGTAAATCTTTACAGGAGCAAATCTTTCCAACTGCTGACCTTGTGGTTAGCAGTGTAATGCTTATCCTACAGGGCCATCAAAGCTCCTTCTGGAAGGCCTTGTTATTGTTAAGTGTTGTCATCAGTTCCAACTCATAGCACTCTGTATAGGGTTTCCAGGAACTGCCTGGTGGGTTTGAATTGCCAGTCTTGGCAGTTAGTAGTCCAGTGGTTATCCTACAGCACCACACCAGGACTCTTCTGGAAGGCTTTATTGGGGAGGAAAAAGAATGACAACCAGGCAAGGGAACAGGGGTAAAGCAGGCAGCAGGAGAAGCAGGCACAACCCCAATTTGGAAGGGGTGTGCTAAATTTGCCTGTTTAGCCGCCTAGGGAGTGGTTAACCTGGGCATCATTTTCATTTTCAGCTAGGCAGTTCTTGAGCAAGGTGTTTTTGAGGGAGGCCTCAATTCTTCATCTGTAAAATGGACATGAAAATATTGCCTGCTTTATTGGGTTGCATTGTGTATCATTGAATTGAGTATTCGGTTGGATTGAGTATCGGAGGCCTGGTGTGGCGCTGTGGGTTAATGCGCCATACTGCAAAGCCGTTTGAACTGCAAGGTCGGTGGTTCAAGTTCACCAGCTGCTCCTCGGAAACCCTATACAGGGTCGCTATGGGTCGGAATCAACTCGATGGCACTTGACAACAACATTGAGTATCATATGAAAATATACACATAAAGTCCTTGGCTTGCCGCCAGGACGCTATATATGTGGTATGGCCATTGTCTGGTGGTGGTGGTTGGTAAGTGCCATCACTTTGGTTCCAACTCATAGCAACCCTGTATAGAGTTTCCCAGGAGCAGATGGTTGGTTTGGGCTGCTGACTTTGTGATTAGCTGTCAAGTGCTTATCTGACAACACCACACCAGGACTCATTAAACCCACTGTGGTTGAGTGATTCCAATTCCTAGTGACCCTGCAGGTAGAACCACCCCAGAGCGTTTCCCAGGCTATAAATCTTTAGGGAGCAGACCACTACATCTTTTTCCCTTAGAGTGGCCAGTGGGCTCCAGCTTTAACCACTGTGCCACCAAGGCTCTTCTGGTTAGGGCAGCAGTATCGCCCAACTGAAATAAAGTTTAAAAAAGTTACACAGTGCAGGTGAAACTCATTTTAATAACATTTTACTTAACCCAGTTAATCGCCAATGAAATGGTAGCCAGAATATCATTTCAATATATAATCGGGCACGATAATTGAGATGTTGTACATTGTTGTACTAAGTTTTTGAAATCCAGTATGCATTGTACACTTGTCCTGGTGTGGCACTGTAGGATGAACACTGGACTGAGAACACAAGGTCAGCGGTTCAAACCCACCAGCTGCTCCTCGGAAACCCTATACAGAGTTGTTACGAGTTGGAAGCGACTCGACAACACTTAACAACATTGTACACTCATACAAAAAAGCCCACTGCCATTGAGTTGATACCAACCCACTGTGACATTATATAGGATGTCTGAGACTCTACATCTTTATAGAATCAGCTAAGACTAAATCTTTACAGTTGCAGACAGTCTTATCTTTCTCCCAACAGTAGCTGATGGGTTTGAACCACCAGCCTCATGGTTAATAGCCTAACCCACAGCACCACAGAGCACTTCTCAGTTCAAGCTAGCTATATGTCAAGTGTCCAACAGCCACAGAGAGCTACTGTATTGGACAACACAGGATTGGAGCTTCTGTTCTGGATCCCTGTTGTCAGAGAAACCCATTTTACAAAAGGAAAGAAAATCTTGCACAGAATCCCAATGTATATATAGAGAGAGATCGAGGGATGAAGTGGCTCTGAAATTCTGCTAAATCACCTCTCCCCCCACCCCTTGTCTCAGCATTTTGAGACCTTCTGTAGGTATTTGGGAGCTATGCAGGGTTGTTGGGGAGGGGGAATGGCACCTTGAATTTGGACTTGATAGATTTGCAAATGCTGCGCTGTGATCCTTCATTCAGTCCCAGATGATCAGATTTCAAGATGCCTCATCTCCCATACGCAGTCCCCACATATTATAATCTACCTGAACTGGGCTTCCCCAGGTGACCACTGGGCCATAAGATGAGCTGACACTTCACTGTGATCCTGAGACCCAGGTGCATCGACTCTCACCATCTAGCATGTAGTGGTGGGAACCAGGTTAAACACTTAATATTGCCACATCCCTCAATCCTCCTCCTAACCCTGTGAGGGATGAAGAATTATTATCACCTTTAGATGAGACAACAGAGAATCGGAAGGCCCGATCATATAGCAGGATATAGAGCTGAACCCTGAACTCAGAGCTCTTGATGGCTGCTCTGTGGCAGTGTGGCACTGTGTTCCTGAACTCCTTAGCTGATCTGTTGTTGTTATGTGCCCTCAAGTTGATTCTGACTTATAGCAAGCCTGTATAATGGTTCCAATAAGTGGTTGGTAGTGGGTTCGAACTGCTGACCTTGTAGTTAGCAGTCCAGTACTTATCCTATAGTGCCACACGAGGACTAATCTGTCTAATGTTACTTATGGAGAGGGCTCTTACCTTTGTATGCCATTTCCAGGATGGCTCCAAATCAAGGCTGTGAAGGGTTTTACCTCCTTCACCCTTGAATAACACAGGCCTGGTACCTCCATGCCCAGAGGTTTTTCCTTATTACCCAGCTCTGAAGGGCCAGTCATTCTGGGCACAGTTGGCCATGAGCCACTCAGGGTGACCCAGGGGAACCAGGTGGGAAAGAAACCAGAGGCTGGGGCTGGGCCCTCAAGCCCTGAGGAAGGCCATCCTGTCCAAGTTGGTGCCCACTATGTGCCTGTCTCAGCACACTTCAGAGGATCCATTCCGCCCAATCTAGGCTCAGGAATGAGGAGGGCTGATGCCCCAACATGTTTTCTGGGATGCAGGGAATAAAACCTCTCTCCAAAGGAGCAGACTGTGAGCTGAGATGAGGCTTCTGGAAGCTGCCGCTTTGGAAGAGGAGGCCAACTGGACTGTGTGTAGAGAGCACAGTTGGGTCGACCCCAGCAGGCACCACAGTGAGAGGCAGCAAGGGCATTTAGAAATGAGGGGCTTTGAGGGCCCAGGCCTCTGAGGGTTTGGGTGAACAGCTGTGTTGGTCCTGATGTTTCCACTCTCAGTGAGCTGGAGGAGGAGGTTTCAGAAGCTGGGCGGTTGCATTCTCTTACTTCCTCTGAAATGGGATGTACTTTCCAAAGTGATACAAGGGGCATGGGTACCCCCACATCTCTAAATGACTCCTTCAGAACCCCCACCCAACTCAAACCAAGATAGAATTTCTCCCCAGTACAAATCAAGACAAGCGGTTTGTCTGAAAAGATGATAGCTAAACCCAAACCGGAAGCCCAGCTGCCGGTCATCTGCCTTTTCCAGAGACTACTAAGTCCGAGTTCTGCAAGGGACTGCTGAGTGAGGTATGTATGTCTGATGTCAAATCACTAGTCAGGGTGCAGCTGAAGGCATCCTTCAGTCTAGGCCATGGGAATCCCGTCCCACCCTCTTCCCAGCCCAGGGACCCAGCTGTGAGCCATGCCCAGCACCCCAAAGGCGTGGCACAGTTGCAGAATTTATGGCTACAGCCCTGTCCCAACTCCAGAGGGTTCTGTTCATATTTCTCTTTATCTCCCTTGGTTCCCTGCGGTGGATTAAAATCTGGGACATCAAGAAGTCCAGGAATGTGTCTCCTACAAAAAGTGGAACTTTGCTGCTCTAATGTTAAATTTGCCTTTTGCAGTTCTCAGGCTGGGGACAGAGGACATTGAGAGGGGATGAATTTCTGACACATTTTTCATTGGATATTTTTGGCTTGCAGTACCTGTGTCTACCTACAGCCCATCCCCAGGGAAAAGTTACAGTCCAGCTCCCTACACCCCCTCGCCTGCTCCTGCCTACACCCCATCACCGGCACCAGCCTATACCCCCTCACCTGCCCCAAGCTATAACCCTGCACCCTCAGTCACCTACAGTGGGGGCCCTGCAGAAGCTACCAGCCGCCCACCCTGGGTGACAGATGACAGCTTCTCCCAGAAGTTTGCCCCTGGGATGAGTACCACATCACTCAGCAAGCAGGCTCTGTCACGGGGGAGCCCAGCCTACCCTGGGACAGGTCCCCAGATGCCTCCCCTTGCCAGGGGCACCTTCCAGAGGGCCGAGCGCTTCCCAGCCAGCAGCCGGACTCCACTCTGCGGCCACTGCAACAACGTCATCCGGTATGGTCCAGCCTTGCCCTGTGCTGGGCCACTGGAAAGATGGGGTGGTGCTGGGCGGGCAGGTGTAGGGAGAAAGCCCCATACAGCCTCAGGGTCTTTGGCTCACCATCTGGTCTGACCCTGTCTGAGCTTTAGTTTCCACACCTGTGTGACATCCCCCTCCCCAGGGAGTTGGTAGGGTTCCATGAGAGAAGTGGGTAAAGCTCCCACAACAGTGCGCGAGGCCAGGAGTTCTCCCTTGGTATAAGGCCAGGTTCTGGGACTCACCAGACCTGTCAGGTTTATTAGGTTGCAAGCTGGCTGACAGTGCTAGTTTGCTCCAGCTTTCCTTTAGGGTTACATCTGGGTCTCCCTACAGATAGGCCAGTCCTGCTCAAGGCTTTGGTGGGCATCTGCCACAGTAAGATGAAAACAAGTCCTTTTATATTTAGAAGCCAGGCACTGTGGGTTAGTGCGCTGGACTGCAAGGTCAGTTTGAACCACGAGGTTGGCAGCTCAAGCTAACCAGCTGCTCCTCGGAAACCCTATACAGGGTCACTATGGGTTGGAACCCACTGGACAGCACTTAACAGCATTGTTTGAATTCAGGATTTTTATGTGTGTTGTCAAGGAGCCGTGGTAGTGTAGTGGATTAAGAGCTGGGCTGCTAACCTCAAAGTCAGCAGTTCAGATCTACCAGCTGCTCCACAGGACAAAGATGAGGCTTGCTGCTCGTGTAAAGATTTACAACCTCAGAAACCCTGGACAAGGTCACTATGAGTTGGAACCAACTCGACGGCACTTAACAACATGTGTGTTGTACTTGACATATGAAAAATATGTTGTACTTTAATATATGACAAATACTTGCATTTTAAAATAAAGTAAAATATATGCATTATAGAAAATAAAAACACAGAAATATAAAAAGTGGAGTATAAAAAGCTTCCTGTCGTCCCACTGCTCTGACTACTACTAGTCTGGAACTAGATGACCCAGGTTTGTATCCTTCCACTCACTAGCCCTGTGGACTTGAACAAGTTACTTGACCTCTCTGTGACTCAGTTTCCTTATCTGAAAATGGATATAATAATTGTTGTTAAACACCATAGAGTCAATTCCAACTCATAGCAACCCTATATAGGGTTTCCAAGGAGCGGCTGGTGAGTTTGAACCACCGACCTTGCGTTCAAACCTACCTTGTGGACCATTGCATTATCCTGCAGTGCCACACCAGGGCTCCGTGATACAGTCATGGTAGTGGTTGTGTGCCTGCCATGAAGTTGGTTCTAACTCATAGTGACCTTGTATGGGGTTTCAGAGGCTGGAAATCTGTCCAGGAGCAGAAAGTCTCATCTTTCTCCCACAGAACCACTGGTAGTTTTGAACTGCTGACCTTGAGATTGGCAGCCTCACTTGTAAGCACTATGCTACCAAAGCTCCTTTCATATGTTAATAGTACCTATTTTACAGGTTTGTCATGAGAATTAAACAAATTAACAAATGCCAAGTTCTGTGAATAAACCTGGCACTTTAGCTTCCAGCAGCGGCTTCCTTCTATTCTTAGTGTAATTAGTGGCATTAACTGAATGGATATCCCATCACACACTTGACCAGACCTCCTACTAGTGTATGTTTGAGTGGGTTCTTGTCTCTTTATTGTAAATGGTCAGTGAGTATCTTTCTACAAGGAGCTGTATCTGAATTTTACATTATTGCATAAGAATAGTCACGAAGTTAGAATTACTGGGTCAAAGTGGGAACTTTGTCAAAGTTCTTGAGACATCTGATTCCAGGCTTTTGGGGATGCCCTAGTAGATTGTTCTCTGCTTCCCTAGGGGTCCCTTCCTGGTAGCCATGGGCCGCTCCTGGCACCCAGAAGAGTTCAACTGTGCCTACTGCAAGAACTCCCTGGCAGACGTGTGCTTTGTGGAGGAGCAAAACAACGTGTACTGTGAACGGTGTTACGAGCAGTTCTTTGCCCCGCTGTGTGCCAAGTGCAACACCAAAATCATGGGGGTAAGTGGGCAACATCCCACTCCTTAGACCCTTTTCCCCAGTCCTCACCACCTCCCACAACACACAAGATTATGAGGCTTAATTAGGAAACCAAAAAAGTTACTAATGAAGAGAAAGCAATTCCATTTCTATCCCAGAAACTGAGTTGGTTTGCCACCAGTGAGCCAGAGAGCAAGTGAACTTGAAGTGAGAGGTGATTAAGTATATGGTGCTTTGGGATAAAGCACTGGACCTCAAGGTCAGTCTGAACCACAAGGCCGGCGGTTCAAACTCACCAGTCGCTCTTGGGAAACCCTGTACAGGGTTGCTGTGAGTCAGAACTGACTAGATAGCACACAACAACAACACCCAGCTTCAAGCGGTGATGGAGCCTCTGCAAAACAAGTGGTCGCTTCAGAGCTGACCTCACCGCTCACCTGCCGGTGGGTGGTCTTGATGCTGTTGGTAAAATGGCAGTAGTAATCTGTATTTCTCTTCCAGGTCTGAGTAATGATTAAGCATCTATGGAAACATCTGGATAAGTGGGCAGCCCCTCATTACCTGCCCCAGACCTTTCCTTGTGTGTCCAATGCCCACTCCCTAGACTTCCCTGGCCTGTTTCCCCATGGGATGCTTTAGCGGTGGGCTTTCAGTTCCCTCGTTCTCAGCACCTTTCTGTGCTGAGCTGAGCTGAGACTCTAATTGCAGGAAGTGATGCATGCCTTGAGACAGACCTGGCACACCACCTGCTTCATCTGTGCGGCCTGCAAGAAGCCCTTTGGGAACAGCCTCTTCCACATGGAAGATGGGGAGCCCTACTGTGAAAAAGGTAGGGTCATTCAGTGGAAAAGCCAGCAGTCTGAGGGGCTAGGAAACAGGCTTGGAGACTTCTGCTTTGTCTCTTCACATTTGAGCACCAGGAGGCTCCATGTTTAAGGAGATAAGACTTTTGTTTCTTTTTTTGATATCAGAATCATGTCAGTATTACACAAAGCACATTAGTTTGACAACTCCCCCCTGCTTCAGCTTTCACATGGCAAGGTCTTTTTACACATTGTTTCTGCTCCCTTCTCTGCATCAGATAGGTGGATCAGAAAATGTCATCTTCTAGCCATTACAGAAGCCTTTCCGATGATTTTGATTTGGAGACCACTTTGCCCTGGGCTCTACTCCTGGCTCTACCCTGTGCTAGCTATTAACCCTGAGTCAGTTACCCCCTCACTTTCTCATCTGGAAAAAGGGAAAACGAATGCCTGCCTTAGAAAGCTGTGGTAAGGACTGGACCAGAGACGGTGTATAAAGCCACAGTGAATAAATGTATAGGGTTTTCAATGAGTGGCTCATGGGTTTGAACCGCTGACCTTGTGGTCACCAATCCAGTATTTATCCTACAACACCACAGAGTGGTCCCTAAAATGGCTCCAGGAAGCCCATAGGTCTTCGCGGAGCTCAGTTTAAAAGCTACTTCCTTAAACAATGAAAGTCATTGAAATGTTTTAAGCAAGAAAGCAACAAAATGTAATTTTTACTTTAGAAAGAAAACTGGGAATTTGACATATATGTTGAATATAGTAAAGAATGATCTTTTTACAAACTAGGTGAAAAAAGGAAGGCTGGGTGATCCAGTAATAAGTAAAGTCAAGCCTGGTGGGCTAGCATGCCCTCAAATTGATCAAATAGAATCGGCCTGGAGGGAGGTCCCCAGTATTGTACCATGGGACATCAGGCTTGACTTTGACCTTGTCACCATCTGGAAAGAAGACACAAAAGGGAGGCTTGTCAAAGGTGCAGATTGAGCCAGCACTGGAGGGAGGATTCAGACTCAAAAAAACTTCAGTGGGCTACAAGGATGAGCCGACACTTGAATGTAGGTGCTTCCAAGAAGGGAATGGAAGAGTCTGCCCCTCCCAGAAGCACCTGTACTTAAAGCCGTTCCCAAACTTGGCTTGGCATCACAGGCATTTTCCATAATCACTTGTTGTTGTGAAGTGCCTTCGAGTCGATTCCGATCCATAGCGACCCTCTATTGGGTTTCCAAGGAGCAGCTGGTGAGCTTGAACCACCAACCTTGCAGTTCACGTGACTTTGCAGTCTGATGCATTAGTCCACAGCGCCACACCAGGACTCCTAATAGTAATCACGTAGAGCCTCAAAAATGTATTTTTGTTGTTAAGTGCCATTGAGTTAGTGCCTCCTCATAGTGTCCCTGTATAGGATTTCCAGGGAGCTACTGGTGGGTTTGAACCACCAGCCTTGCAGTTAACAGTCTAGTGCTTATCCTACAGCATCACACATAGAGAAGGTAAATTCCCAGGCCCAACCCAGATATATTCAGAGGTCATTATGAGTCAGAACTGACTCGACGGCACTTAACAACCACCACCACCACCAAGACCTACAAAAACAGAACTGCTCACCCAGGTGATTCTGTTATTTCGTTAGGTTTGGGACTCAGCAATGTTTCTCAAAGGTGGGATGAGCAGCATCAGTACCACATGGGAACTTGTTAGAAATGCAAATTCTCAGGCCCCTAGTTCAGCTCTGCTGAATCAGATATACTAAAGATTGGGTCCAGCAATCTGTGTTTTAACAAGGCCTCCAGCTGACTGTAATGTTTAAGAATACTTGCTCCAGAAAAATTCTAAACCCTTTCTAACACACAGCATCTGTGGTGCGATGGATGAAAATTCTTTTACAATTGCAATAAAATCCACTGTATACAAGAGTGTTTCTTCAATGTGAGGGATGGGAGAGTTAGTTAAAGAAAATGGAGTCCTGGTGTGGCCCTGTGGGCTAATGCGTCAGACTGCAAAGTCATTTGAACTGCAAGGTCAGTGGTTCAAGGGCACCAGCTTCTCCTTGGAACCCCTATACAGGGTTGCTATGGGTCAGAATCGACTTGATGGCACTTAACAACAACAACAACAGTGGGAGAAATAATGAGGAGCTAGTTCATGTTACTGGCGTAAAAGGCCCATGCACAGACTTCGTTCAGCACCAATTACATTCTTCCTTTGTAGAATGAATGAAGAACACTACCAGCTGTTTTCTTTTAATAATGCACCAGGATCAGACCTGTGCTACCAAATTTTAAAACAAAGTGGCAATTCTCCAGATCCACACAGAATCAAGTTTAAAACAGAAAAAGCAATCAGTGTTCAAGACTAGCCTTGCTAAAAATAGATTCAAGCCACTGTAAGAGCTTATTCTGTGAAAAATAATAGGCCATACAACAGAAGAAGGAATCCCTGTTTAATAAGGTTATTTGAACAAGTCCTTTGTTGTCCATCTATCACTTACCCAGCAAATGTGTGTTGAGTCTATATTCTGTGCTCATCTCTGTGCAAGGTGCTGAGAATAAAGATGAGCATGACAAAAGCCTCCAAAACCTCAAGCGAATGTATCCTTGTGTGATATGCTGGCACACGAATGGACAGTCAGATATCTGAATGAATAGATGGATGAATGAGGAATGCTGGAAGTTCAGGCAAAGTCTTCAAGAAGGCCCATGATCTCATCTCACTTAGTGGGGCTGAGAGGTAGGCCTGATTCAACGGTTTACTAAGAGTCAAGGAGAGTAAGCAGGAAGGCCTTTACCAAGCCCAGGAGCTGGTCTATACAGAGGCACCGAGCTGTACAAGAGTGTCCAGGGCATCTGAGGAAGTGAGAGTGAGCATTGGGATGTGAGACTTGTCCTCATGTAGATAAGGGTTACCTGTAACTATGCTGCTCACCTCCACACTGGCAGGTTTCTACAGAGCAGAGTGAACCCTAAAACTGTCAGAACCTCCAAAAGGAAGCAGGACAGTGTTTTCTTAGCTCTGACTAGACAACGGATTTCTGCCTATTTGAAGCTATTCAGTATACTGTCAGAGATCACACTGATGGACTGGGTTATATGAGAGCATTTGCATGATAAAGTATGATGATATACAAAAGGAAACTGTATGTAGGCGACAGGTATAATTGATTAAAGTGCAACTGCGAATAAATAAGGAACTGGAGACATAAAGTCCTGGAAAGAGGATCAACTTTGGAGTTCATCTGGCCTGGTGGGACCATTTCCTCATTTTTTAAATGAGAAGACTGCCTATTCATGAAGTTGCATTGAAGGCTAAGATCATGCAGAAAAAGCACTAATATTGGTCTGGTTCATAGTAGGCACTCACATCATAGTCCTCTTCCCTCATTTCATGATGTATGATGACATTCAAAATAAGAACCAATGTTTTTGAGTACTTCACATACATGATCTTATTTAATCCTAACAACCCCATGAGTTAGGTACTGTAATTGTTCCCATTATATAGATGAGAAAAATTGAGTCACTGAAAAGTTAGGCAACTTGCCCAAGATTTCGACAATTCCTCAGTAGAACTGGAATTTTGAGCCTCATTCTTTTTTTTCTTCAGAGCCCAAATTTATAACCATCGTGGCAGGCACACTGCTTCTTAGCACATGGTCTGGACATTTAACAGTCATAGCAGCCATGAGGAGATCCGAACAGGAAATCACTATTTAAAAAGGCCAACTATGGCAGAGCTGTGGAGAGACATGTACCAGTTCAAGGGAACGAAGGCATTGTAAAGGGGACTGAGGTCTTGTAAAGCAATCTGCAAGAGTGCTTGAGGAAGTGTGGTAGAACTGCTGCTCTGTGACCTAGACAGGACAGATTTTGTGAGGAGCACAGAACCTGACCCCTAAGCCTCAGCCCTTCGACTCTTTTAGTCTCAATTTATCTGCAAAAAAAAATGATATTCGAATCTCGGAGAATTTTGTGCAGTTCACTCATTGATTTAGTGCTCAGCTGACTGATGCATTGACTTACTCACTCTTTGCTGACTGTCCTAAGCGCTGGGCTGGGAGTATTAAAAAAAACAAAGGCTTAGTCGCTGACATTGAGCTAGTTGTAAATAATGCCGTCTATGTGAAAATAGATGGTAAGCTGTAATATTTAGTAGTAGCACTTCCTGTTATCTCTTTGGTTGAGGTGGGGCATGTTCCAGTAAAGTAGTTTAGATGTTATTTATAGTAGTGAAAGTCTAGGATCAACACAAATATCCAATGACAGAAGAATGGCCAAGCAAAGAACATTCTATAACTCTGAAAAATGTTAAAGGGCCCTCATTCTTCCAAAAGAAGCATAGAAGGTTTGGAAATGTGTCTTTTTCTTTTTTGGTGGCAGAGGCAGCAGAGAAAAAAGAGAAAATCACTCTCCAGAAAGTTAATGTGAATTCCAGAGAGTTTTAAATCAGACCAGCACAAGGTGATGACTAAGCCTGAGTCTGCACAACATCAGTGCAAATTGTTGGAAAAAGAAAAATCCCATCTTTCAACCGAGTATTTTGGCTGCAAGATGACAAACTACCAAAGTGATTGGGGGGTTGTCCTGGCATTGAGTAGACGAGGCTGGGGTGCTTCACCCCGCCTGCTGGATGGATATGCCTCATGCTTCTTTTCCTTTCAGACTATGTCAATCTGTTCAGCACCAAATGTCATGGCTGCGACTTCCCCGTGGAGGCTGGTGACAAGTTTATCGAAGCTTTGGGACATACCTGGCATGACACCTGCTTCATTTGTGCAGTATGTATTTAAATCTGGGACTTTTCACATTCCTGAGAAGGGGGCAGCAGGGACAAATGACCAACCCTCCACATCCCTTTCAACTCTGGCATTGTGATACTCTGGTATCTTTTAAAAATGTTTTTAAATTTTATTTTTGTTGTGGAAAATATGTACAGCAAAAACCTATACTAATTCAGGTTTCTACATGTACAATTCAGTAACATTGATGACATTCTTGAGTTGTGCAATCGTCCCAGCCCTCCTTTTCTGAGGTGTTCCTCCCCCCCACCACTATCATAAGTCCCTGAAGGTTCCTATCTTATCTTTCAAGCTGCTGCTGTCAATTTGCTCCCATGTAGATAGATCTTAAAAGAGCATAATGCTTAAGGCAGACATTCTTTACTAGTTCATCTAAATTACTGTTTGGATTTAAGGGAATATTTTTCATTTCAGGTTGCTTAGGGCACTCATTTCAGGGTGTCATCCAGGCTCCATGGCTCCAGAAAGTCTAAATTCCATAAGAATTTGAAATGATGCATTTCTCCCCTTTTGAGTAAACTTCTATAGGCTCTTTGGTCAAAATGTTCACGTGATAGCTGGGCACCATCCAGTTCTTCTGGTCTTATGGTAAAGGAGACAATTAGCAAGATAGTACATTTCTTTCTCCTTTTCTTGACTCTCCTTGCTCTGTTATGCCAAGTGAATAGAGATCAATTGCTTTGCCTTGAATGGCCATTTTCAAGCTTTTAAGACCCCAGGCACTACACAATGAACTAGACCAGATGCAATAAACACATTATTAGGCCAATTCACTGGGATGTCCATGAAACTGTGACCCTAAACTTCCAAACCAAGGAACTGGATCCCGTGAGATGTTTGGCTGTGCATCAGAAGCCTCAGCTCTTTTATTTTGTTTCATATTCTGATGGCTTTTAAAGCTGACAGATACCACGAGGCCTTGTTTCTATCACAGTACGCCAAAATTTTATTTGTAAGGAGTGCTGGATAAGCCCATAGGATAAGCACTAAACTGCTAGCCACAAGGTCAGAGGTTCAAGCACACCAGCTGCTCTGTGGAAGAAAGATGAGGTTTTCTGCTCCTGAGAAGATTCACAGCCTTGGAAACCCTATACAGGGTCAATATGAGTCAAAACCAACAGAATGGCACGTAACAACTATTATTTGTAAACCAGTAATTGTTTACAATGAGGCTTTGTTACTTTAAGTTTCATGAGGGCAACAGAATGTTCAAGGATCTCACAAACCAGTAAGTTTTCTCACCAGCAAAGATCTCGATCCATCGGAATAGTGAAGGATAATTGAGTTTAAAAGAGAAGCAGTTGTCTTCCCAAAGTTATATGTCGGCTTCATATATGATTTGAGGGTTTTCCCTCAAATTTTCACCATGAAAATGAAATTGGAATCTACTGACTGATCCTATGAAAAGTGGAGGTAAGGTTTCTTGGTAGAAACCTTAGAAAGCAGGACTAGGTATCTTTTTATTTTTTGTCTGGAGATAAGCCTTAGATTAACAAATAACTTTGTACAATTTATTTCTGCTGAATAGCCAAGTCATTTTGATCTTAAGATTGGCATTTTCATTGTGGGGGCTTTGGGTTGGGAGGAGACATGATCCTGATCTTACCGACATTTAGATTCCACATCTAGGAATAGACCTGTAGGAATACATCCTCCCTGATCAAGCCCTATAATGTGAATCTGTAACTTTATTTGAAAATTTAATGTGCTACTAGTACTTCAGGTAGTACATCACGTAAGGGTAGGTTTATGGGGTGCTTCATATTCACTCACTAGTTGCCTTTAAGGATCCCCTTCCAAAAAGGGACAAATGTGTAAACACTCAATCTTGGGTTGCAGAGCCTTGACTAAGAGAGGCACAGCACAGGACCTGTGACCTGTCCATCAGGCTGTGGCCTGTGGAACCCTGAGGCACTGCAAATCTGGTTACCTGACTTCTAGAAGGACACACGAGAGGTGGAGATGGTGCAGAGAAGACAGTGATACAAAAGCTTGCTCTCTGAAGGCAGGCTGAGGAGAGGTGTGTCCCATGGGGAGGGTACCACAGCCAGGATGAGCATGGCTCTGCTCCTCCAGCCTGCTGCGTGTAGCTGAGAGTCACTATGAACTAATCCCAGAGAAAGACCAGAAGAAACAGTAAATGTTAAGATGGTTTCGACTGATATTACAAAGAAGTTTCAAAGGATGAAGTCCAGTCAGATGTGAAAGAGCAACCGAGCAGATGCTATCCTTTGGAGAACTGGAGAATCAACAAGCATTGGGTCTTTCCCTAAACTGCCCCATAAAAGTATAGGAAAATGTAATGTGTTTTTAATCTTTGGAAAGCAATCTTTTGTTTGAAAAACTTTCAAGGATTTTTTTTTACTTCTATCACTTTATATTATCAAATCACTCTTAATAAGAATATATGATTCAATAATAAAAATTTTAATAGAAAGGAAAATAGCACTAACTCTCAGTTGATGCAGTATTTACCCATCAGTTAGTTCTCTGGACAGCAGATACTTCTGACTAATTCAATTTACCAAATATTCTTTGCGTTTGGGGCATACACAAGTATCTCAGAACAAGTATTCACCTTCAAGGAATTTACAGGCTTAACAGGAAAACAAAGCTAACATATACAAGCAATTAAAGAACAGAACAAAACACTATCTTTAAAATCCAAAGCTTATAAAATGAAGACAGGGAGACTAAGAAGATTAGTGAGGTCACATTGGGGATCCAGCTCCTGACTGGCTTTGATAACTTGAGTTCCAACTAGAAGAATCTGGGTCCTTCCACAGTGGGGAAAGAAGTCTTCTGGGTCCCTCTTCTCCTCTAACTGGTTTCTAGTCCTTCCTCAGTGCTGTCTATCAGGAAGGGTGGGTGGTGATACACATTTTAGGCAGTCTTAAGGGCAGATTTTATTGCCTTTCACTCTGCTGGACTGTGGTCAGCACTATGGCCTCCACTCCTCCATAACTAGATCCTTTTGCCACCTGGCCACCTGGAGGTTGGGTCGCCCTGGTGTGCCTCTTGCTGAGTGAGCAGAGGCCTCCTCTACCATGAAGCCTCCTTACCTCTATCTGCAGTCTCCTGGTCCAAGAATACTGAGCAAGACCTGTCTATTCAGGGCCCTGCCTTCAACCCCATCTGCCAGTGAGGCTCTGTGTCTTCTTCACTCCTCAGTCTCAGTCCCCCAGAGCCCTCCTGAAGTTCTCCCAGGCAACTATCACTGGCCCAGACCAGGCAGGGTCTTCATGCCAGAGCCCCAGATGTGAACAAGCAGCTCCTTGTCAGCACATTCCTTTTTATTTCTCTCAAAGCCCATGGTCACTAGTTAGCTTTTGGGTGTGGCCATCTTGCATTTGTCTCTAGAATCTGATGCCAACATCAGCAGCTTGAGGTCACTTCCAAGTCCAGTTATGCTCAGCCGCCCGTTCTGTATTCCTGTGACCTCTCAGTGTCTTCTCTGAGGCTGGGGCCATCCCAACCACTATGAATTTCCAGCAGATTCTGACAGGTTAGCATAGTGTTAGGGCGCAGCCTGCATGTCATGGAGGACTAACCCTGTACACAGGGTTACAAATCCTAATGATTCAGTTCCCATAGAGTCCATTCCAAATCATGGAGACCCCACGGGTGTCAGAGCAGGGTTTCCAATGGCTGCTTTTTCAGAAGTAGATTGCCCAGCCAGCCTTTCTCCCCAGGCATCTTAGGGTACACTCAAACCTCCAACTTTTCAGTCAGCAAACTAGTATGTTAATTGTTAGCACCACACAAAACTCACTGGTATGCAGTTGATTCTGAAAAATGAAGAAAAGATGGAAGTTGTCAAAGACATCATTTTGCTTCTACCCACTATCAACACTTATGGAAGCAGCAGTCAAGAAATCAAATGACATATTGTATTAGGCTCATCTGCTGCACAAGATCTCTTTAAAGTGTTCAAGAACCAAGAAGTTTGAGGACTAAGGTGCGCATGACCCAAGCCAAGGTATTTTTAATAGTCTCATATGCATGTGAAAGTTGGACAATGAATAAGGAACACCGTAGAAGAACTGATGCATTTTAGTTACGGTGTTGGAGAAGAACATTAAAAGGACCATAGAATGCCAGAAGAACAAGTCTGTGTTGGAAAAAGTGCAGCCAAAATGCTCCTTAGAAGCCAGGATGGCCAGACTTCATCTCTCATACTTCAGACATATTATCAGGAGGGACAAGTCCCTGGAGGATGCTTAGTAAAGTAGAGGGTCAACGAAAATGAGGAAGCCCCCAGTGAGATAGATTGTGAGGCTGGCGCAGGACCAGACAGTGTTGCATTCTGTTACGTATAGGGTCACTATGAGTCGGAACCAACTCAATGGCACCTAACAATGACGATGGAGTTGTTGAACCCTGTAATACAGAGAACTGCCCCATTGGGGTTTCCGAGGCTGTAAATCTTTACAGAAGCAGACTGCCACATCTGGCTTCCATGGAGTGACTGGGGAGTTTGAACTATTGGCCTATCAGTTAACAGCAAAGCGCTTAACCAAGGCTCCTCCAGCATTACCCAAGGATACCACAAATTCCTAAGCCCATAATAATTAAGTCAAATGATTAAATGCCTATACTCCTGCTGTTATATGGTGGGAATTTAGCATGGATATAGACATATATTCCCATCAAGATGATTTACTTTGGGACTAAGCAAGACCTCAGTCTTTCACTTACAAAGTAGGGAAAAGTCATTATCTGTCCCATAAGATTTTTGTGAGAGTTACATGAGAGCATGTGTACACAATGTCCAATGCACTAACTGAGCCATGGCCCAAACCAAACCAAACCGTATGTAAGGTTTCTGAGGCTATAAATCTTTAAGCCTCCTCTTTCTCCTAAGAAGCGGCTGGTGAATTTGAACTGCTGACCTTGTGGTCAGCAGCTCAATGTGTTACCCACTATGCCACCAGGGCTTAGCAAATAGGAGGGCCAGTCAAAAAGTATTGTTACAAAAC